TGGGGGGGGGGGGGGGCGTAATCATGTTTTGCATGACTTGGTTGTTGGACCATTGACCACGCGTCCGTCGTTTGGAGGTTAGAGCAAGGGGGCGGCGAGATTTTTATATGTTTTGGAACGACAAGAGTCCAAAGATAGATTGAGACAGACACACAGGCGGGCAGACAGCCAGACAGACAAACGGACGGACAAAGAGACAGACGGACAGAAAGACGGACAGACAGACAGACAGGCGTTGCGGACAGACATTGACAGTCAGACGGGCAGGCAGACAAGCAGGCAGGCAGACCGGCAGACAGACAGACAACACCTGTTGGGGGGAAGGTACCACACAGGAAGGGGGGATTTTGTTTGTTGAACCAGTAGCCAGACCGACAGGGAACACACGTACAGTATATTGTTCGCTCTTCGTGTGTGCGCGCGTCGGACGCTGCCGCCCATCTGCTGCTCGGCTGCTTGCCAAGTTAGGATAGGTGCCTGATGTTGACATGTAAATAGTTTTCGACACGACTCGCGAGACGACCCCAAGGCTTTGACACCACGCAAAGCCCTAACATCTGATCCGTTGAGTTACATGTATGCCTGGTGTGCTTCCTGTTTTTTGGTGTGTTTGGTTGAGATGTCATTTCCGCTGAAATGCGTTCAATGTTCATATTTGTACATACTGCGTGATCTCTCTCATTTTTTCCCCGCTCAACGTTTTTCGCTTGCTCGCTGCTGGGTGCTGTTGTGATGTGGTGGTGTTTGTTTTTGGTATCTGTGAAGGCCCTGAAGCACTCTGCCGTGCACGCGAAGAGAGATCTGCAGCTCATCTGGGTTGAGGCGTCCGACTTGGAGGTGTGTCGTCCATCCGTGCGGGTGCTGTTACCGGTGTTGCTGTCGTTGTTGTTGTTGTTGTTGTTGTTGTTGTTGTTACCGGCGTCGCTGTTGCTGTTGCTCTCTTTGCTGTCGTTGTTGCTGCTGCTGCTTTCGCTGTGGTTGTTGACGTTTTTATCGTTCGGGTTGTTGCTTGCTGCCTATTTAGTTGCTTGCTGTTATCGTCGTCATTGTCGCTGCTATCGCTGCTGTAGCTGCTGCTGTCACTATTGCCGCTGCTGCGTTGGCCCCGCTGTCATTGCCGACGGAGGTGATCGCTCTCGTGACGGTGTTCCACGGAATATATCACGGTATTGTCCGCTGCGTGCTGAGAACCGATCACGTCTTCTTGCCTTGATCGCTTGCCGCAGGTGGAGTTCAAGGAGGCATCCCCGGACAAGCACGCAGAGGCGTGGAACACCCTCAAGGGCGTGGACGGGGTGGTGCTGCCCGGGGGGTTCGGCACGAGAGGGGTGGAGGGGAAGATCCTTACCGCAAAGTGAGCCCACGTTGTCGCATCCTTAGTATCTTCAACACCTCGGAACATCCTTCTAAATGGAATCTTGTGGTAGCGGCGGGTTATAGGGGTTGTTGCTGACCGCAGCAGTACTTGTGCCCAGAACGAGTTTTGGGCGCGAACAAGCGCGCAGGAAAAATCTTCCTTTTTGTTTTTGTCGTGGTTGTGTGCGACAGGTGGAGGCGAGTTCGGCGGGAGAGTTCGTTTTGGGGACTTTGCACGAAACGAACTTTTTATTTGACTTGGCGGTCTAATTGCCGTTTGGCTCTTTCTGTTGCTGACTGAGGTTTTTGAATCGTCATTTTTTGAGCAGGCTCGTGTCCTAGTTTCGACCCGCCCCCCCCTGGGATGAGGGAATGATATTTGCACGGGGTTCCCCACTTTTCGTTTGCCGCGCACGCCCAAAGAACCCCCGTGTGTTGGTCGTGTCTGTGCTTGTTGGAGTGTAGCATCGGTGCTCATATCTAAAAGACTCGTGGTCAAGGGTGAAACTACTGCTTAAGAGTGCGGGCGAATGTACAGGCGTGTGCGATCGATCGATTTTAAGGTCCATTGCTCCGCAACCACGAGGGTCCCAAACCCGACCGACGCATGCAAGGAAGGCAAGGAGCGAGAGATCTCCACGAGATCGTTCAACAAACCACCCGTTGTCGGCATTGGCAGCCTCTTGGTGGGTGGAGCAATCTACTGCTGTAACGTATTGAAAAACCCGATCGCGCACCTGTCGGTGCGTTCCCCCGCACTTTTCACGTACTTTACGCAAGTAAAACACACGACGACCCCCGCCCCGTCCCCCCTGTCATTCAGGTGGGCGAGAGAGACGGGCAAGCCGTTGCTCGGGGTGTGCCTGGGCTTCCAGTGCATGGTGGTGGAGCACTGCCGGAGTCTGCTGGGTTGGGAGGGGGCCAACAGCACGGAGTGCGACG